GAGTCCGCCAATTGCAGCGAGTCTGCAATGGACGGGAGAAATCGACGCATGCTTCGGGTTGAGAAGGAGCAGGCCTGTTCTTGGGAAAGCCCTAAAGGCGGCAGGCGCAGCAGAGAGCGAAAGAAATCTTGAAATCGGCTGTACGAGAAAGCCCTATTTTCGAACACGGGCAAGCCCCCAGTGCCAAAGTACATGTCTGGTACAAAAGGCGCGTTGACACCAAGTGTGCCATGTAAGGTTGCCTGCACCTGACTGAACAAAGGGACTTCGGGGACAAGAAAAGTTGGAAGAGAAAAGGCAAAAGGGTGCCCATCCTTCCCTTCAGGAACTCGCCACGCGTGTGTTCTGGCGGAAGACAAGGCTGCATCAAACAGCGCTGTTTTGGTATGTTTGAACCGAAGACCTGAGACCACAAAGCGCACGACAATGCCCGCCGCAAGTTGCAGAGGCTGAAGTTGGTCACCATCACTGGACCGAAGCGCCATGTCCACCAAGTGCTTCCATACCTCAGGGGTCAAGACGCGGGCTTGCTGTGGCAACGTGTTGTTTCGAGCAACACGGAATTCACGAAGCGTGGCCCCAGATAACGGGAACTTCACACCGAGCTCGTCATGAAGCCACTTGAAGTGGTGGAAAATGGCCGCGGGAACGGTGTGCCCACGCGCTTGCTGGGCTGTGAGGAACTGGCGGAGTGTGACCTCGTGAAGCAAGCCGGCTGGCCATTGCGCAAGCCGGTACCATGTGCGCAGGGCAGCTGCGATGGTGCCAGGCTGGAAGCGTGCCTGCAGTGAATCTGCCAGATTTGCTTTCCACTGGGCTGGGCAGCCATCATGGCGGGAAACAGCGCAGTGAACTCATCCTGCAACACGGCGTCAACCAGGGCAGCTGCGACGGACGAGTGCTTGTAGACAGGGCGAGGTGCCATGCGCGGAGGCGCAGCTGGAGCTAGGGCTAAGGGAGCTGGATTGCACGCGGTTGGCTGCGGGGACTTGCGACCTGGGGGAAGCAAGGCGCAAGCAGGAAGGCGTAGCGGTAGCCTCTGCACCGAGCGCCAGGCCTGCTTGCGCAAGCTAACCAGGATGTGCTCGTCAACCGGAGCTGGCAACTCTTCGGCAAGTTCTGCAAGAGAGAGGCCAGCAAGGTCAGGGAGGTTGAAGCCTTTCCATAGCAGAAATGCGAGGACAGCGGTCTCAGACTGGAAGTTAGCCACAGGCAAGGCAGGCTGAGACAGGGCTGTGGACATTTTCAGAGTAAAGGGGCGACGTGCAGAGCCAGCAATTGAATCAAAGAGGCGTTGCCTTGAAGTGAGCGGTTGCATGCGCGGCTTCCGTGAAAACATGTGCACCCAAGCCTGCCAGTCCTAAACACCATGCCCATAGGGATCCCCTAGCATCTGTTCGGCCCTTTAACATTGCCTAATTTGGGGAAAGGTTTCGAGGTCACGCCCAAGGGTCACACTTCAAATTTGTAGAAAGGGTTCTGCCCGACCGGAGGCCAAAGAAAACTTTCACAGCACCATGCGGCGTTCCACACGAATCAAGCCACACGCGCGAAGAGCCCCAACTTCAGCCATGCGCCCAGACTCGCAAAAAAAGAAGCTCTCCTACAAGCCGCACTGTAGCCTAACACAGCAGGATGTGTTCATGAACGTGGGTCTTGTCAAGGGTGCCTGCTCCCCTGTGCGCACTGACCCCAAACCCAGTTTGTCCTCACGTTGCAGGACCACGAAGCAAGTTCAAGGAGCGGTCAAGCATGTCAGTCATTGCTTCAAGGGGCGCACACAGCCACTGGACTACGTGGGCAGCTGCAGGCTGGGATGAGAGTCGAGTGGGGGAGGGAGGAGACAAAGAAGCTTCAAGGCAGGAACACAGCAGGACACAAGAACGTACGCTAAGTTATGTTGAAGAGGAGCGCGCAGTTGTCGCGCTGCTGCCCACATCCAAGTGCGAGTTTTCGCTGCGCATCAGTGTCCATTAGCCTGACCCAAATCATGACTGTTTGCTTGGTGGTGTTTATTGATGAAGGGGGCAGTCAGAATGCGATCAACGTGTCTGCGCTGCCTGGCGGCCAACTTGGCTCAACCAGCCAACTCGGATCGGGCAAAGTGACGGGTTTTCCTGGCCAACTTGGCTCAACTAGCCAAATCCATTTCTCCCAAATGACGCGATTTCCAGAAATCACATGATGAAGCCCAGACAACTGCATTCAGCCAGCCAAGTTGCGCCCCAAAATCAATCACAACTCCTGACCCCCCAGCCCATGTGAAATCGCGACGGGTTTTCCAGAAAACCAGTCACAATTTAGTCCTGAAACTGAAAACCCATCACACTTTTGCGGGCTGACACAGTGCAGCAAGTGTGACGGGTTTGCCCCACAAGCCGCAAATTGCGACGCGTTTTCTGGAAAACCAGTCACACTTTGGGAGGGCATGCCTTCCTCCAAAGTATGACGGGTTTTGACCTCAGATCTGGCGCAGCAAGCAGGCACTCAGCTGACTAGACCCCAGCTCATTCGGATTCTCGGCACCATTCCCCCTTCGTGAGCCAGCCCTTTAGCTGGGCCAACCAGGCCTGCAAATTTCCTTCTTGGTTGCCGACTGGTAGCCCCCTTCATCAATAAACACCACCAAGGGAACAGTCATGATTTGGGTCAGGCTAATGGACACTGATGCGCAGCGAAAACTCGCACTTGGATGTGGGCAGCAGCGCGACAACTGCGCGCTCCTCTTCAACACATCTTAGCGTACGTTCTTGTGTCCTGCTGTGTTCCTGCCTTGAAGCTTCTTTTTCTCGGGCCTCCCCCACTCGACTCTCAGCCCAGCCTGCAGCTGCCCATGTAGGCCGCCTGACATGCTTGACCGCTCCTTGAACTTGCTTCGTGGTCCTGCAACGTGAGGACTAACTGGGTGTGGGGTCGGTGCGCACAGGGGAGCAGGCACCCTTGACAAGACCCACGTTCATGAACACATCCTGCTGTGTTAGGCTACAGTGCGGCTTGTAGGAGAGCTTCTTTTTTTGCGAGTCTGGGCTCATGGCTGAAGTTGGGGCTCTTCGCGCGCGTGGCTTGATTCGTGTGGAACGCCGCATGGTGCTGTGAAAGTTTTCTTTGGCCTCCGGTCGGGCCGAACCCTTTCTACAAATTTGAAGTGTGACCCTTGGGCGTGACCTCGAAACCTTTCCCCAAATTAGGCAATGTTAAAGGGCCGACCAGATGCTAGGGGATCCCTATTTCTTGAGGGGATTTGGCTACGCACTTGTCCGTACGAACGGGCTCCCTCCTTGCAAGGCCCAAACACGTGCAAGGGCACAGTGTTATAGCAGAATCTAGTCTCAAAGCGATTGACTTCAACCACTCTTGGGGTCCAGGGAATGTATGGGCGAAATTGCTGCAGCGTGAGAGCCGCGACTCACGCAGAAACAAGCGAACATTAGAGCAAAGCAAGGGCCTACCATACTGTCTGGAAATGTGTCCTACCGCAAGCTTGGTTGCCACCAGCATCGTGGGAGATTCCTTCAAGGCGTCCTTTCCCCTGCTGGTCAGCACGGCGCCAAGATGCGCCAAGCACAATTTCTGAAATGTGTTTCTTCCAGTAGTGGAATTGAGGCCTGTCAAGTAGCTGACGGTATAGCGGATATTGTTGTCCAAGAGCTGCTAGTGACAATGGGAAGGCACGTGTTACGCTACAAAGCGGCAAGGCACAAAACCAGTACAGAAGCACCAGCTAGCAAAACACCCAGTTGCGAAATGGAAAACACCCAGTCCACTCTGGACATGCTTTCAGGTGGCCAGCGGGAAAAGCACAAACAAAGCAGCATGTGGATAGTTTCAGACCGCAAGCCATGGATCGTGCGATCTGTGTATATTCAGATTCTGGGCCCTAGGTGCTCAACGCTCAATCCCAAACGGACTTGACGATGTTCGATCAGTTTAAGGCCAAAGATATATGGTCCCAAACTTGACCCAGCGTATGGGAAGTAGTTCTGACTTTAACTCCTGAAGTCCATCTCGAAATGCTGGGAACAACATGTACTTTTAGTTGCGTTTCGCAGGGGCCTGGAAAAAACTTGACTCAGCCCATGTTCAGCTTCCCTCTGGAGGGTGGTTTGGTGGGTAAGGGGGTGGTTTCCAAGTTACCCTCTATCATGAACCAGGAGGCTTCAAAAGGAAACCCGAGAGGGTTCAACAACTGACCGGGGGCGCCCATCAAATGTTTTTGGGACCGGTGTGAAACCCGGGCGGCCAAGAAGACATGGCTTTGGTTTCCCTGGTTTCTCCGTACGCCACAATGGAACCCTCGGAAACTACGCCACATGAGTCACAATCAAAACCCGGCATTAAAATGGTTGACCCAGAACCATGTAAGGAAATACGGAGGCGGCCGCAACTATTTATGGCTGGGATTGTCCCTTGCTAACCTTCATCTACCCGGGTTTTGATTGTGGCTCACATGTTTCCGGGGCCTTTGAAACAAAACAAACACCAACAAAGAAGCGCCACCGAACTTTTGCGAGTCAACTGGCAGTTGCCAGCGAGGATACGTGCCTCCCAAACGAAATGTCCAAAGAAATAGTTGTTCCCTTCATGCAAATCAAAAAAAAAAGCAGTTGCCAGCGAGGATACCTCCCAAAAGAAATGTCCAAAGAATAGTGGTTCCCTTCAAACATCATGCAAATCAAAAAACATAGCTTCCAGAACTGCTGAGTTTGAAGCCCGAAAAGGGAGCAAATCATCTGGGTCAACTTTGATTCAACCGCAAATCTGGGATCTCTACGACAACCTTCATGTATAAACCCAGTCACAAACAGAATCCCCTAGGTCCTCCAGTAAGGAAGTTAGAATAAGATGGCGACCTTTCTTTTCTGTAGTCGATTTTGGTAGGGGAAGCCTCCTAACCAAAAAAGGGGAGTCAACGGCTCTGCTGGGGGACCTAGTCCCTTTGACCTCATCGAACCTTGAGGCTAGAAATGCAACCGCATCCAAATCCCAGGTATCCCAGGTACGCGGAGGGTCAGGCTGCTGCGCTGCAGCTTCTTGATCAGATTCCAATCCTGGGATGCATTGCTGGCGGATTCATAGGACCCAACTTTTGATAAGGCCTTGCTAAGAGCTTCTCTGGCAAAACGAGGGATAGAGGCGGCCACCTTGGCTGGTTGGGGACCTGATGTGTCTTTCCTTAGACTTTGTTTTGGACGCCGAATTCACTTTCGGATCCAATCAAAGGAAACAACCCCAGTTTCAACCCGCTTTGTTCATTCCTAGACCGGAAAGCCAACCATCTGCGGAGGTTTGGAGCAAGCGCGGGCCCTTGCTAAACATCATGCTTGTAGCGGGATATGTCATCATGACTCCTGCTGGACTCTGAACCCTACAAAGCCAAACATCTCAGAGTATGGGAAGTTTCTGATTCAACGCGCATATATCTGGGCAAGTAACTATAACTCACCCCCCCAAAATAAGAGAGATCGATCCCTGTGAAAGCAACCTTTGGGCATCGCAACCCGCAAAACTGCCCAACTCTTTATGGCCACTAGCTGCCCGCAGCGGGAACTGCACCCGTTGTGATACCAATAAAAGGCCTTCCAAATCAGCGCGTCTTTTTTCGATGGTACCTCACTTGCTGAGTGGATGGCCCAAAAAAAGTCCAAACTGTATATTTACCACTAAAATGGTCTTCCCAAAAAGTTTAAAGTTCATGAACAGAGGAAGTGAGGTACTGTTTGGGATGGTTCAAAAAGAAGACCAAAAGGAGAACCGCCATGTGGAAGTCTCGCCGTTTCCGAAAGGTAAGCCATGAGATCCCAGGACGGATTTGCACGTGGCTCAATTGGGTCTGTGCCGGTTTCTGACCCCGGGAAGAAAAAGAATCCTTTTTGGGGCTTGGACCATTTTTAGTGGGGCAATCACCAAAAAACGGGGAAAAATTGGTGCCACTGAACAACTGAGTTGAGGCTACTCTTCACAGGTTGGCTCAAAGGACACCCAAAAGACACCAAAAACCCCGGTCCCAAACACCGACTTTTGGGCGGGCTTCCTCTCGGCTTCCCTTTTGGCGGTTCCTATCTCAGATGCCGTGGATTTCCATTGGGAAAAAGGGCCTGTGGCCTCCGATGTTTTTTGGTTGGTTGACCTGAAAGCGAAAATCCTTCCCCCCGAAGGGAAGAAAGGACAAACCGCTGGGCAACAGAACTCACACAACCCAAACAAGACAGGTACCCCGCAGACAAAGCTAGGTCCTCCAGCCGAGAGGTTCGAATAAGATGGCGCCCTTTCTTTTCTGCAGTCTGTTTTAGGAGAACCCTCCCAACCAAAAAAGAGGAGTCAAAGCGCACTACGAAGACCTCCAGCCAAGACCAATCCCCAAAGAACTCGGCCGAGCCGCGGCATTTTCGGGCAGCTCCAAGGTCTCGCTGGCGAACCGTGCCGCCAGCCTGGGCGACGTGGCGCGCCAAGCGGAGCCCATGGCCAGACTGGGCTGCCCTCAGATCCCCCGCGAAAAAGCAACTCGCTTTTGGGTAAATACGGAAATCCAACCACTAAACACTACTTAAAGCTAAGGGGATGGCTGGGGGCACACCAAGGTTAGGGGAAAAGGGAGACCCCGAAAAAGAGGACAAACAGACATCGAAAAGGGACGCTACTTCTGGGGTAGCATCTTTTGAGGGTCTCAAAAGGGGGGAAAATTGAGAGGGAGTTGGGGGGGAAATTCACGGGACCGGATATGGCGTGTTTCAATTGGAGAGAAGGACTGCATGGGTGTTCCGGAACAGACCCTGTAGGTGACCTTTGCACAACTTGACGCCTGAGTTCCACAAACAACCCAAGGACCCCTCATAGGTGTCCAAGGGACCCCGCCACCCCCAACAAAAACTGTGGTTGTCCTTTCGGTTTCCCTTTAAGCCAACCACAAAAAGTGACTGACCCGCGCTTGGCGTCCCATTTTGGAGCATTGGACTCCAGATCACCGACCTAAAAGGCACGCCTTGTTTACTGGGTTGTTCGTTTCTCGGATCCCCTGCCTAAGAGCTAATAACTTGTGGGTTAAGTGGAAACCCAACTGCTAAACCGTAAACACTTAAGAACCGAAGCTTAGACTAGGCTTAAGTTCTCACCGTGGTTGCTCCTGGGTCGACCTTAACCTTGCGCAACAGCGCCTTTCCCAAGGAAAAGACTCCTCCCTGGAGAGATCGTTTCAGGGGGTGGGAGAAGGACGCAAAACGAGAGATGAAGAGAGATGACCCATCTCCCGACTCATCTCCCGTTGGTCTCTTTTGGTGGTAGACACTCACTGGTTGAGTGGATGGCCCAAAAAAAGTCCAAACTTGATATTTACCGCTAAAATGCTCATGAACTCAGGAAGTGAGGAGATGGATTGCATGCCATTGTGAAAACCGTTATTTAACAGGCATGTCCTATCTCTCTCTCTCTCTCTCTCTCTTTTTCTCTCTTTGTCATATCTTCGCTCTCGATTCCAGGGAGCTAGATGGTGAGGAGAAAAAACGAAACGCATCCCCAGACCCATGTCCAATGATAAGAGATTTCATGGATTTCTGGGGTTCGGAGTGTGGCCATTCCTTTCTCGTACTAGCATCATCCAAATCAACTTGCAGAGATGCAAGGAATCGTCTTGTCCCATCTTTCTCATCCTCCGTTCTCATGGTAGACATGATTAGAGATAGGCCCAGCTATAGAATGTATATTTTATTGTTTGCTTCAATTTGAGTCACTGGTAAAATGTACAATGTAAAATGTATCCTAAGTCTACCCCAGTAGACACGCTCATAAAATGGGGTGGAGGATGAAAGGATCAATTCCCTTTATCAGTAATTGATCTGAGAATTCCCACGGATTCAAACCCCGGTGCGAAGGTGCAGGCACTGGTTCCTCTTGAAATGCGCTCTCGGCAAAAAATGGCCAACCCGAACATTGAGGTGTACGTGCAGCATGATATTTTTGTTTAATGTGTGTGCGCTTTTTCTTGATGGTAGCCTTTGCGCCTTGATTGAAATGAAAGTCAAAGGGAACATCTCCATTTTCGGGTCCAAATCCCCAACATTGACACATGCCCAAATGAAGACATCTTCGCGCTGTCCACTGAGTTATATACCATGAACCAACTGAGTTGCCATTTGTCTTGGGCCCCCTTGTTTGCTTTGACATCTTTGTACCACCAATCTCGCTGGGACCAAACACACACACACACACCATGGCTAAGGCTTGGTTCGCCCACTCTGCCGTCAAGAACAATAGTGTACCAAAAAAACAAACACACAAATACCAAAAATAAGGACGCCTTCAAACAAAGGAAGCAATATGCCTAACCGCCCCCCCGGAAGCAGCCCACCGTCCACCCGAAGAGCGCCTCCGGATGAGCGTCGTCACCTGCGGCTCCGCGCTGCGCGGGGCGAAGACCCGCAAAGCCTCGCGTTGCGCGCGTCGGTTTCGGCCGCGTGCGTAAGGCGCGTGCGCGGGGCCCGCGCAACTCTTCGCCCTACTCGTCACTCCACTCGTGAGTGGACTGGCCAACAATAAAAAAACAAACTGTTTGTTTGCCAGACTGGGCTTCCCAGAAAGTTTCCATGAAAACAGGAAATGAGTGAGATTGGCATAGCCCTTTAAAGGCCGCAGGGCTTTGCCTTGTTTGATTCCTGTGAGAGACAAGGGTGGTTTATAGGGCTTATTCTAGGCGATGGTATGGAGTAGCATGATGCTACTCAGACAGTGTAAGGCCTAGTCGGGCCATCAAAGTTGGGCCGGTTCAGATCCCCCCGGCCGCCGGTACTGCTCACGCCGTGCCTTGGACAGGGCTCATTCTCCCTCTCCCCACTCGTTACACCAGCCAGCTTCATGAGGTGAAGGAACGAACGTGGGGCGAGGGCGAGGGTCAGTGGAATACGTTCCTGGGAAAACCTGTGCTTCGGCCATATCTTTTTTTTTCTGCTGGGGAGCAGGGAATATTGAAAACGCCTTCCCCTCAAAGAAAAACAACACAACACAGGTCGACCAACCCAAGCCTTCAGGCCCCTAAACTTCGCATGGCCCTTACCGGCTCTGGAAACAAAGGCAGTCACAAAAGTGGGCCAGCGGTTGCCCTGTCCATGTTGCCATGGAACTCACCAGAGGGTCCCTTTTAAGGGAAATCCGTTTTCTCAATGGTCGAGTTGGCCGAGTCTCGGCCTTCAGGTCGGTTCGCGGGCTAGGCAGGGTGAGAGTGAGTAGGGCAAATGCACGTGCCAAGAAGCAACAAACACATGGGCCATGTCGGGACCTGCAAAAGCTCAGATGTCCAGTGGCCATTGGAAAAGAAAAGGCATCCTTTTTTGGTTGGTTGAGTTTAAAGGGGAAACCTTCCCCAAAACAAGGACAAAAGGGCGCTGGGCAACAGAGAAAGGCAGTGTCTGATGCGAAACAAAACTCCGACAAGTTTGCAGCGGTGCCTCCCCTTCAAATATCACCCCACCACTTAACTTGGCTTGCAAAGTAGGTTTGGCCCTACTGGAAACAACTGTCGTGTTCCATTTGGCGTCTCTTTAGACCAAACTCAAAAAACGCAATACGTATGTGTACATGTGTATATATACACTACGGGCTCCAGTCTATATGCAAATATGGGTGTAAGTTTTAATGGGCAACCCTTCGATGGACATCATCTAGGCGCGGAGACTTATGTCCACCAAACACTCTTTAGGTGGTTCCCAATCAAAACTCATGGCCAAGTCCTGCATGAACAAAGATTGCCAAAACGACTTAGCGGGGATACGGGGGAAGCGGGGATGTGCGACTGATGTGCAAGGACTCTCTGTAAAGAAAACCATGTCTAAATATTACCTGAAACATATGCCCACATCCCTGCTTCCCCTGCATCCCTGCTTGTTTGTTTGTCTGAAAAGAGCCCCGTGTGCCAAGTCGCCCAAGCGTCGCGCTCCACATGCACACGGTGGCCCACCTGTTCTTGCACTTTGCTCAAGCAGAGCGGCGAGGCATCCTGACGAAACGTGGGGCT